TATGGGGCCCCATCATTCGGCCCTTAGTACTGGTTTGCTGGTTGGGGAGGTAGCCCCTCAATGAGGGTGTGTACATGCGCCTAATAAAGGTTACATACTCTTTGCATGCCACAGGGTACATAATGCAGTATGAGGTTACATAATACAATGTGAGGATACTTAATACAGTACGAGCCTACATAATACAGTATGAGGCTACATAATACAATACTAGGGTACATAATACAGTATGAGGCTACATAATACAGTACGAGGCTGCATATTACAGTATGAGGCTGCATAATACAGTATGAGCCTACATATTACGGTATGAGGCTACATAATACAGTAGGAGGCTACGTAATACACAACGAGGCTACATAATACAGTTTGAGGCTACATAATACAGTACGAGGATGCATATTACAGTATGAGACTACACAATACAGTACGAGGCTACATAATACAGTATGAGGCTACATAATACAGTATGAGGATGCATATTACAGTACGAGGCTATATAATACAGTATCAGGTTACATAATACAGTATGAGGCTACATAATACAGTAGAAGGCTACATAATACAGTACGAGGCTGCATACTGCAGCATGAGGTTATATAATACAGTACGAGAACATAATACAGTATGAGGTTACAAAATACAGTATGAGACTACATAATGCAGGACGAGGCTACTTAACTACAGTATGAGGCTGCATAATACAGTACAAGGCTGCATATTACAGTATGAGGTTATATAATACAGTATGAGACAACAAAATAGAGTATGAGGCTACATAATACAGTACGAGGCTACACAATATACAGTAAGCGGTTACATAATACAGTAGGAGGCTACATAATACAGTAAGCGGTTACATAATACAGTTCGAGGCTACATAATACAGTAAGCGGTTACATAATACAGTATGAGGCTACATAATACAGTATGAGGCTACATAATACAGTACGAGGCTACATAATACAGTATGAGGCTACATAATACAGTACGAGGCATACATAATACAGTATGAGGCTACATAATACAGTACGAGGCTACATAATACAGTATGAGGCTACATAATACAGTACGAGGCTACATAATACAGTATGAGGCTACATAATACAGTATGAGGCTACATAATACAGTACGAGGCTACATAATCAGTATGAGGCATATAATACAGTATGAGGCTACATAATACAGTACGAGGCTACATAATACAGTACGAGGCTACATAATACAGTATGAGGCTACATAATACAGTACGAGGCTACATAATACAGTATGAGGCTACATAATACAGTACGAGGCTACATAATACAGTATGAGGCTACATAATACAGTATGAGGCTACATAATACAGTACGAGGCTACATAATACAGTACGAGGCTACATAATACAGTATGAGGCTACATAATACAGTACGAGGCTACATAATACAGTATGAGGCTACATTACAAAAAAAAGTTATTTTTAGATGGTAGTTTTACTCATTTTGTAATAAAGAGTTCGGGATACATAATAAAGAGTTCGGGATACATAATACAACATTAGAAGACTCCGGCCCACAGTTGACCAGCGTAGGCGGTGAGTCCGCAGACATCACCGGTAGACCTGTAAATACTCTCTAAGGCCGGTAGAAGTACACCGTAAGATGGTCTGGTGAGTACTATCTACCGCCTTCAAGACCAGTTGACACCGCAAGTAGGTTCGGTTAATCCTGCTTGCAGAACACCATACTGCAAGCTCACTGAATGCGGCCGTCAAGTAACTGAGGCCAACAGACTCAGTGAGCTGCGGTGAGCGGTTCTTCTAAAATCAGTAGAAGCCAGTAGAATACTCTACTGCCAGTAGATGTGTACCATTAGGTGTTCAGGTACCTACTGCTTCTAAAGCCAGTAGATGTGTACCATTAGATGTTCAGGTACCTACGGCTTCTAAAGCCAGTAGATGTGTACCATTAGATGTTCAGGTACCTACTGCTTAGATGCGTACCGTGAGGTGCTCAGGTACTTAATGCTCTAAGGCCGGCTCAGCAGTCCCCACATTGGGTTTGATGACGTACCCAGTGGTACTGCCGGCCGGCAGGTTAACTATTTAACCGCTAGTTTGGCAGGGGGCCGTAACAGGCTACATAATACAGTACGAGGCTACATAATACAGTATGAGGCTACATAATACAGTACGAGGCTACATAATACAGTATGAGGCTACATAATACAGTACGAGGATACATAATACAGTACAAGGCTACATAATACAGTATGAGGCTACATAATACAATACTAGGGTACCTAATACAGTATGAGGCTACATAATACAGTACGAGGCTGCATATTACAGTATGAGGCTGCATAATACAGTATGAGCCTACATATTACGGTATGAGGCTACATAATACAGTAGGAGGCTATATAATACAGTACGAGGCTACATAATACAGTACGAGGCTACATAATACAGTATGAGGCTACATAATACAGTACGAGGCTACATAATACAGTATGAGGCTACATAATACAGTACGAAGCTACATAATACAGTATGAGGCTACATAATACAGTATGAGGCTACATAATACAGTACGAGGCTACATAATACAGTACGAGGCTACATAATACAGTATGAGGCTACATAATACAGTACGAGGCTACATAATACAGTATGAGGCTACATAATACAGTACGAGGATACATAATACAGTACAAGGCTACATAATACAGTATGAGGCTACATAATACAGTACAAGGCTACATAATACAGTACGAGGCTACATAATACAGTATGAGGCTACATAATACAGTACGAGGCTACATAATACAGTATGAGGCTACATAATATAGTACAAGGCTACATTATACAGTACAAGGCTACATAATACAGTATGAGGCTACATAATACAGTATGAGGCTACATAATACAGTATGAGGTTACATAATACAGTACGAGTCTTAATACAGTATGTGGCTGCATATTACAGTATGAGGCAACATAATACAGTATCAGGCTACAAAATGCAGTATAATATACATGACGCAGTATGAGGCTACATAATACAGTGTAAGGCTACATAATGCAGTAGGAGGCTAGAAAATACAGTACGAGGCTGCATATTACAGTTTGAGGCTACATAATACAGTGTGAGGCTACATAATACAGTACAAGGCTTAATATAGTATGAGGCTACGTAATACAGTACGAGGTTACATAATACAGTATGAGGGTACATAATACAGTGTGAGGCTACATAATACAGTGTGAGGTTACATAATACAGTGTGAGGCTACATAATGCAGTGTGAGGCTACATAATACAGTATGAGGGTACATAATACAGTGTAAGGCTACATAATACAGTACGAGGTTACATAATACAGTATGAGGCTACATAATGCAGTAGGAGGCTACATAATACCGTGTGAGGCTACATAATGCAGTATGAGGCTACATAATACAGTACGAGGCTACATAATAAAGTACTTGGCTCCATAATACAGGATGTGGCTACGTAATACAGTACGAGACTTCATAATGCAGTACGAGGCTACATAATACAGTACTAGGCTACAGAATACAGTCTCAATATTAGAAAAAAACACCAGTGTTCTATATGCTGTTTCAACATAATGTTATTAGAGTGTAAACTGTGTTCAGCGAGTCTTCAAGTCTGGTCATTATCGTCCACTTGTTTGGAGGACAGTCTTGTTGCACTTTGTCTGGAAATACCTGGCTCAAGTCTGCAAATACCTGCTCAAGTCTGGAAATACCTTGCTCAAGTCTGGAAATACCTGGCTCAAGTCTGGAAATACCTTGCTCAAGTCTGGAAATACCTGGCTCAAGTCTGGAAATACCTTGCTCAAGTCTGGAAATACCTGGCTCAAGTCTGGAAATACCTTGCTCAAGTCTGGAAATACCTGGCTCAAGTCTGGAAATACCTGGCTGAAGTCTGGAAATACCTGGCTCAAGTCTGGAAATACCTGGCTTATGTGCTTCACCTGTGAGTAGTCTAAATACTGCTTCTGACTCCATGTTATGGGGCATGTTGTTCCTGTTCTCTCACGGTGTTCTGTGTTGCTGCGTCTGACTCACGATGTTCTAGTTTGCCTGCGTCACCTCACTGTGTTCTGTGTTGGTCTGCGCCACCCTCACTGTGTTCTTTGTGCCTGGTCTCCTCACGTGTCTATTGTTGCCTGCGTCCCCTCACTGTGGTCTGTGTTGCCTGCGTCTCCCTCACTGTGTTCTGTGTTGCCTGCGCCACCCTCACTGTGTTCTGTGTTGCCTGCGTCTTCCTCACGGTGTTCTGTGTTGCCTGCGTCTCCCTCACGGTGTTCTGTGTTGCCTGCGTCACCCTCACTGTGTTCTGTGTTGCCTGCGTCACCCTCACTGTGTTCTGTGTTGCCTGCGTCTCCCTCACGGTGTTTTGTGCTGCCTGCGTCTCCCTCACGGTGTTCTGTGCTGCCTACGTCTCCCTCACGGTGTTCTGTGCTGCCTACGTCTCCCTCACGGTGTTTTGTGCTGCCTGCGTCTCCCTCACGGTGTTCTGTGCTGCCTACGTCTCCCTCACGGTGTTCTGTGCTGCCTGCGTCTCCCTCACGGTGTTCTGTGCTGCCTACGTCTCCCTCACGGTGTTCTGTGCTGCCTGCGTCTCCCTCACGGTGTTCTGTGCTGCCTACGTCTCCCTCACGGTGTTCTGTGCTGCCTACGTCTCCCTCACGGTGTTCTGTGCTGCCTGCGTCTCCCTCACGGTGTTCTGTGCTGCCTACGTCTCCCTCACGGTGTTCTGTGCTGCCTGCGTCTCCCTCACGGTGTTCTGTGCTGCCTACGTCTCCCTCACGGTATTCTGTGCTGCCTGCGTCCCTCACGGTGCTCTGTTTTTTCTTAACATTGTGGCGACAAAGTAACCACGAAGTGTCAACACTTCTGTGTACTGAGTTATTAACGATGCTTTATATTAATTGACTCCACCTGAACATGCTATTGTGTAGTAACTCATAATTAATCTAATTACAGAGAGTAAGACTGAATGTAAACAAACACAAGACGATAACAACCAAATTTTATTTAAAATTTACAGTGTGGAAGACCAGCGTCACTGTAGCAACACTCAGACTTATATTTGTGTTACATACGAACACGAATGTTACCATTAGTAGTGACCAGCGAGTGTGATATACGTATTTATAAGAGAAAAAATTAATTTAACATTGTAGTTGTATGTGAGTATAGATATTTTTGGCCGTTTTGATCAATTAAAGTGCAGAAAGGAAGGAGCATGTCACTTACGTAAGGAAAAGTGTTGTTTGTAGTGAGATGAGCAGCGGAGGTCAAGACACTGCAGCTGCTGCAACTGACATGAGCGTCTTAGAAAGTTGCAATGTCAAGCTTCACGAAAAGAAAGTCAAGAAGTAAAATATGAAAGTTAGACTGAAGTTGAGGCAATAAATATATACGAGTTGACGACGTTATAGAGCAAGTCTCAGGAACCTAGACACTATAAGGTGTGGTGCACTGTAAGGTGTGGTGCACTGTAAGGTGTGGTGCACTATAAGGTGTGGTGCACTATAAGGTGTGGTGCACTGTAAGGTGTGGTGCACTGTAAGGTGTGGTGCACTGTAAGGTGTGGTGCACTGTAAGGTGTGGTGCACTATAAGGTGTGGTGCACTATAAGGTGTGGTGCACTATAAGTTGTGGTGCACTATAAGGTGTATGGGGAGACGTAGACTCAGCCACTTGCACCCAACTTAATACAAACTCAGATATAAAGAAGTTCTCTCACCGCCACATAACTGTCTCAGTGGTTCAAGGCTGCCGTCAGAACCCCGAGTGTCTCTCTTACTTAAATGTAAACTCATTAAAGTCATGGCATATGTAATTCAGTGATATCTCTAAATCACCATCTATCACTGAACTTTCCATGTAGTTATACTGCAGAAGTGTCCGCTACAACACCTTAACATATTTTTTCGACTCAGAGGACTTGTTTAATGCGCACTATCATCACCAGTCAGGGTAATAATCTCCTCCCCAACTGACTTAGCAACAACTGGAGGCCTCATTTACACTCCAGCTGGCCTCGGACCTCTATCAAGAGGAAGCATTTCATCAGCTGCTACTGGAATTTCAGCAGCTGGGTTCATGACGGTTGGACGCTGGCTGGAGTTAGCAGTGACGATCATGGTTCTTGCAGCCACACCCGCCACTGGTAAGTCTACAGTGTATTGTGTGTTTATTTATCTAAGTAGGAGTCACCTTTCAAGTTAAGAATCCTTTCATGCAAAACGAGGTAAAGGACAGCTCAATTTGGAAATTTTATGTTTGATATTTTAACTATAAGGTCAGCTGTGGCAGTAGTAGGAGTACTAGAAATAAGATACATTAGCTAAGATTAATTGCATGTGCAGGAAGCATAGATATTATTGTTGTAACAAGACCTGGTTTAACCTGAATGATAGATAAATGTCTTCTAAATGCCACACACAAAACTATAAATTATTCCACACCAGCTGGGTCAACGGAAGGATGGTGGAGTGGCGATGTGTGGGCCAGTAGGCCTTCTGCAGTGTTCCTCCATTCTATTTGGTTTCAGGTTATGGAGGGACGTGAAAGTTAAACTTGAATGCCGTTTACAGATCCCAAACCTTGAGAGGGAACATAATAAACATATATGGGACTAAATTACTAAGACAGCAAGATAAACAAACATTGCCTTAATTGTCGATTTAAATTTTAGCCAAATTAACTGGAGAAATTTGACAGGAAATCTTGAGTCTAACGACTTTCTAGATAAGATCCAGGATTATTTTTTAAACCAGTTTGTAACAGAACTAAGGACCAGACTAGTGTGATCATCCTGCGGAGATGGTTACCAATATGACGCTTTTCAAAGCATAGTTCAACCTGCCTTGGCAACATATGTTCAAAATAGACCGTAAATGGATAAACAATAGAATAAAACATTCACAGGAGAATCAAAAAGGAATAATGACACTTATTGAATCATATATTCAATTAAAGAGACAAATCAAGAAAGGAATAACAATAGCTAAAAGAGAGATAATGAAATTAAAGTCACAAGGGAATAGAAGACCAATACAAAGTGTTTCTTTAAGATATATTAGCATAAGGTTAACTAGACCCACTAAAAGTGGCTCAGGTCAGCTTACCGTCAGTGACTAAGTAATGTGTACAATCTTCAGCTCTTATTTCCTCTCAGTTTTTACACAGGAAGATACTAGCAACTTTCCAAAACTAAAAAATTATGCAGATCTGGACGAAAATAAGTTATGCACGATCAAAGTAACTAGTGACACGGTTCTCACAGAAATATTAAAGCCAAACAAATCACCGAGTCTTCATGAAATCTTCTTAAGGGTTATAAAGGAATGTAAGAAGAAACTTAGCAAATACTAATTAGCCTAATCTTCCTTGTGGGGAAATTTATAGAATCCATTATTGCAGAGGCTATTCGAGGCAACCTTGAAAGACAAACTGATCAACGTTGTAATGGGGAGCCCATCACTTCTGTTTTCTCAGTAAAATATTTGGGAATCCCCTTTGACCCCATGCATGTCAGGAGAACTAATAGGGAACCGTGTAGTAAGGAAAGCGAATGCCAGACTGAAGTTCCTCAACAGACAAGCACAGCGTCTACCTACTAAGGCACAGTGTCTACCTACTAAGGCACAGTGTCTACCTACTGAGTCATATTGTCTACCTACTGAGGCTCACAGGACCCTATGTCTAGTCCTTATACAATGTCATATGGACTACGCTTGCTCTTCATGGTACTCTGCCTTGACAAGAAAACTGAAAGACAGACTACAAGTCACCCAGAACAAAATGGTAAGATTCATTCTAGACCTGAGTCCTAGAGAGCATGTAGACCTGGGTCCAAGAGAACATGTAGACCTGGGTCCAAGAGAGCATGTAGACCTGGGTCCAAGAGAGCATGTAGACCTGGGTCCAAGAGAGCATGTAGACCTGGGTCCAAGAGAGCATGTAGACCTGGGTCCAAGAGAGCAAGTAGACCTGGGTCCAAGAGAACATGTAGGCCTGGGTCCAAGAGAACATGTAGGCCTGGGTCCAAGATAACATGTAGACCTGAGTCCAAGAGAGCATGTAGACCTGGGTCCAAGAGAGCATGTAGACCTGGGTTCAAGAGAGCATGTAGACCTGGGTCCAAGAGAACATGTAGGCCTAGGTCCAAGAGAACATGTAGGCCTGGGTCCAAGAGAACATGTAGGCCTGGGTCCAAGAGAACATGTAGGCCTGGGTCCAAGAGAACATGTAGACCTGAGTCCAAGAGAGCATGTAGACCTGGGTCCAAGAGAGCATGTAGACCTGAGTCCAAGAGAGCATGTAGACCTGGGTCCAAGAGAGCATGTAGACCTGGGTCCAAGAGAACATGTAGGCCTGAGTCCAAGAGAACATGTAGGCCTGGGCCCAAGAGAACATGTAGGCCTGGGTCCAAGAGAACATGGAGGCCTGGGTCCAGAGAACATGTAGGTCTGGGTCCAAGATAACATGTAGGTCTGGGTCCAAGAGAACATGGAGGCCTGGGTCCAAGAGAACATGTAGGTCTGGGTCCAAGAGAACATGTAGGCCTGGGTCCAAGAGAACATGGAAGCCTGGGTCCAAGAGAACATGTAGGTCTGGGTCCAAGAGAACATGTAGGTCTGGGTCCAAGAGAACATATAGGCCTGTGTCCAAGAGAACATGGAGGCCTGGGTCCAAGAGAACATGTAGGTCTGGGTCCAAGAGAACATGTAGGCCTGGGTCCAAGAGAACATGTAAGTCTGGGTCTAAGAGAACGTGTAGGCCTGGGTCCAAGAGAACATGGAGGCCTGGGTCCAAGAGAGCATGTAGGCCTGGGTCCAAGAGAATATGTAGGTCTGGGTCCAAGAGAACATGTAGGCCTGGGTCCAAGAGAACATGTAGGCCTGGGTCCAAGAGAACATGGAGGCCTGGATCCTAGAGAACATGTAGGCCTGGGTCCAAGAGAACATGGAGGCATGGGTCCAAGAGAACATGGAGGCCTGGGTCCAAGAGAACATGTAGGTCTGGGTCCAAGAGAACATATAGGCCTGTGTCCAAGAGAACATGGAGGCCTGGGTCCAAGAGAACATGGAGGCCTGGGTCCAAGAGAACATGTAGGTCTGGATCCAAGAGAACATGTAGGCCTGGGTCCAAGAGAACATGGAAGCCTGGGTCCAAGAGAACATGTAGGTCTGGGTCCAAGAGAACATGTAGGCCTGGGTCCAAGAGAACATGTAGGTCTGGGTCCAAGAGAACATATAGGCCTGTGTCCAAGAGAACATGGAGGCCTGGGTCCAAGAGAACATGTAGGTCTGGGTCCAAGAGAACATGTAGGCCTGGGTCCAAGAGAACATGTAAGTCTGGGTCTAAGAGAACGTGTAGGCCTGGGTCCAAGAGAACATGGAGGCCTGGGTCCAAGAGAGCATGTAGGCCTGGGTCCAAGAGAACATGTAGGTCTGGGTCCAAGAGAACATGTAGGCCTGGGTCCAAGAGAACATGTAGGCCTGGGTCCAAGAGAACATGTAGGTCTGGGTCCAAGAGAACATGTAGGCCTGGGTCCAAGAGAACATGTAGGCCTGGGTCCAAGAGAACATGGAGGCCTGGATCCAAGAGAACATGTAGGCCTGGGTCCAAGAGAACATGGAGGCATGGGTCCAAGAGAACATGGAGGCCTGGGTCCAAGAGAACATGTAGGTCTGGGTCCAAGAGAACATGGAGGCCTGGGTCCAAGAGAACATGGAGGCCTGGGTCCAAGAGAACATGGAGGCCTGGGTCCAAGAGAACATGTAGGCCTGGGTCCAAGAGAACATGTAGGCTGGGTCCAAGAGAACATGTAGGCCTGGGTCCAAGAGAACATGTAGGTCTGGGTCCAAGAGAACATGTAGGCCTGGGTCCAAGAGAACATGTAGGCCTGGGTCCAAGAGAACATGTAGGCCTGGGTCCAAGAGAACATGTAGGTCTGGGTCCAAGAGAACATGTAGGCCTGGGTCCAAGAGAACATGGAGGCCTGGGTCCAAGAGAACATGTAGGTCTGGGTCCAAGAGAACATGTAGGCCTGGGTCCAAGAGAACATGGAGGCCTGGGTCCAAGAGAACATGTAGGTCTGGGTCCAAGAGAACATGTAGGCTGGGTCCAAGAGAACATGAGGCCTGGGTCCAAGAGAACATGTAGGCCTGGGTCCAAGAGAACATGTAGGTCTGGGTCCAAGAGAACATGTAGGCCTGGGTCCAAGAGAACATGTAGGCCTGGGTCCAAGAGAACATGTAGGCTGGGTCCAAGAGAACATGTAGGCTGGGTCCAAGAGAACATGGAGGCTGGGTCCAAGAGAACATGGTAGGCCTGGGTCCAAGAGAACATGGAGGTCTGGGTCCAAGAGAACATGGAGGTCTGGGTCCAAGAGAACATGGAGGTCCTGGGTCCAAGAGAACATGTAGGCCTGGGTCCAAGAGAACATGGAGGTCTGGGTCCAAGAGAACATGGAGGCCTGGGTCCAAGAGAACATGTAGGCCTGGGTCCAAGAGAACATGTAGGCCTGGGTCCAAGAGAACATGTAGGCCTGGGTCCAAGAGAACATGTAGGCCTGGGTCCAAGAGAACATGTAGGCCTGGGGTCCAAGAGAACATGTAGGCCTGGGTCCAAGAGAACATGTAGGCCTGGGTCCAAGAGAACATGTAGGCCTGGGTCCAAGAGAACATGTAGGTCTGGGTCCAAGAGAACATGTAGGCCTGGGTCCAAGAGAACATGGAGGCCTGGGTCCAAGAGAACATGTAGGTCTGGGTCCAAGAGAACATGTAGGCCTGGGTCCAAGAGAACATGTAGGCCTGGGTCCAAGAGAACATGTAGGTCTGGGTCCAAGAGAACATGTAGGCCTGGGTCCAAGAGAACATGGAGGCCTGGGTCCAAGAGAACATGTAGGCCTCTGTCCAAGAGAACATGTAGGTCTGGGTCCAAGAGAACATGTAGGCCTGGGTCCAAGAGAACATGTAGGCCTGGGTCCAAGAGAACATGTAGGTCTGGGTCCAAGAGAACATGTAGGCCTGGGTCCAAGAGAACATGGAGGCCTGGGTCCAAGAGAACATGTAGGCCTGGGTCCAAGAGAACATGGAGGTCTGGGTCCAAGAGAACATGTAGGTCTGGGTCCAAGAGAACATGGAGGTCTGGGTCCAA